TACAGTTATAGCACTGATTAGAATTTTACAGTAAATATTCATTCATTAGTTAGCTAGGCCGTGTTTATGGTCCAACTTGGGGCATGATGGTGGTGGGTAAAACTAAATACGAGGCCTAACTAATGAATAAATGTTTGCTATAAAATTATTATCAATGCTATAAATGTAGCTACCAGTTTGGCCGCTAATTTTGATTTCATTCCTGTCGCATGCTCAATCTTTTTTGGCTGCACCTTACTGCACACCTAAGGTGTTTGTTATTAGATATCGTGGCTTTTTGTCAATACAAACCAACAAATCACAGCAAGTAAAAAAGTGACACTCGGTAGTAACCAACATTAGCTTTAGGCTTGCAACCCTATTATTTCACATACATTCTTGCCTACCAGCTTAACAAAATTTAGTTAATTTCACGTTTTCGAGTAACGTCAGAAAGCACGGTGTCATTTATCTTTATCCTATGTTTAATAGAGATCACGCAATTTTTACATTTTAGGCTAAAAACGTGTTACATTTCGAATCTAGGCTGGTCCTGCTACACGTAGTATTTTCTGTTGAGAGTCATGTCTGGTTTCTTATTACCGATAAAGCGAAGTGTTTGAGCGTGTTTATCCTGTCTTGTCTATAGATATTTATGCAAGATATTTCCATAATATAAGCCTCATGGTGGCTCAGCGGTAAGAATAAGGCATTATAACGCTAAAAATCTGGTTTCAATACCCTTGGTGGACAAAACGCAGATAGTCCAATACGTAGCTTTGCGTTTAATAATAAACAAACGTAATAGAACATATGTATCTACAGGTACAGTGTATAGCAAGTGTCTCTATGATGAATTCTCTTTATGAAAGGGACATCTATAGTAGCAAATCTTTTTGCTATTTGAATATTTGATAACACACATTATACATTTACAAGAATTTCCCCTAAAACTCTTATAATATTTATGTTTTAACAGGCTGTTAGACTGTACATAAAATGCTACAACATGAGTTTGAAAAGACAAGTATACAATATAAATATATATTTTTTAAATATAAAATGACAGAATAGACATATTTAGGTACAACTACGAACCACTACTGTAGGATATATGACGCGTTTTAATTTGTTTTATATCTTCAATGTAAGTTCGAGGAATTACTTGTTCAATACCCATGTAAATGTAGAAAACAAATAGGTCAAACAAAAATTGGTATTTCCTAAGAATAAAAAAACAATAATTAAATATGAACTATTAATTATGAACATATTTTCTTTAATTTCTGTTGCAGGTTAAGTTATATTGGTAAAATACTTTTGTTTCCTTAGTCATTTCATGTTGAGCTAGGTATTTTCAGCTGTTTCAAATAATATTTTTCCTAGTACAATTAATGGAATGAGATAAACTCTGGTTATTCCTGGTATGCTATTTAGCGTGTTTTTGCCTTATAACATAAAAATCGTGTCTATACAAATGTAATAAAATGAAGTTATAAAACTATCCATTTACAACATAAATGAATGTACAGATTTTTATTTTTCTTAGGGATTCTCTATCAATCTCTGTTAATACAGTTGTTAATTAATTTGTTTATTAAAGACTGAATTTGTTAAGCTGAAATTAAATTTTCAGGCTACAAACGATATCGCAAAATGTGTCAACATTTCAAAGAATATTTAAAAAGTTGTATCTACCGAATAAATGCCGTTGCTATTGGCGATCATATGTTAACAACATAAAAAACACACTTTTTTTCCTATTACTTTCCGATTGCACATTGTTTTGTTTCTTTTTTAAACTTTAGGCTTAACTTGTTAAGTTTCTCAGAACCACATGTTTCTTCATCATATAATTAGTTCGTGTTGTTTATTTTTGCTATAATGAAGTACCAATAATTAGTTCGTGTTGTTCATCTTTTCTATAATGAAGTACGAAGAACAATGATTAGAATAACTTTGAAAGTTTCAGTGTATTAACTGTAGTAACATAATACACTGTATTTGGGAATGGATAAAATGGTAGAAAAATGTACTTTTCCAATAAAACATAGAACTATGTTACATGTTTGGTTTCATATAAACATCCATATAAAATGTACTTTTCCAATAAAACATAGAACTATGTTACATGTTTGGTTTCATATAAACATCCATATAAAATGTACTTTTCCAATAAAACATAGAACTATGTTACATGTTTGGTTTCATATAGACATCCATATAAAATGTACTTTTCCAATAAAACATAGAACTATGTTACATGTTTGGTTTCATATAAACATCTATTTTGACAAACATTCCACCTTTATAAATGCAAATTGTATTAGAGACGCTCATTATGTACGTTATCCGTAGACATTAATTGAGAGTTAACGTTGAAAAAAATACTTGCAAGCTGAAGTTGAACAACGAGATATAACATAAGGATCCATTACGTGTTTTATGATACACATTTCAATTTTCGACTGATTTCAATTATTCCCTCAAGTACAGTAATATTCAATTTTGTTTCTAGTTAGATTAAAAAATAACTATTCAAACTGTTTTTGTCCTGTTTGAATTGAAGATGAAACTATGCAAAGAGAGACGTTACGCTATTCACAAAATGCTAAATGCAATTAGTAAAACCTATAGGAGAAAGTAATAAATATTTTCGGAACGTAAAATCGTAACCATGGAAATTAAAGATGTATAATGATAACTGGGAAGAGAAATCTTCTATTTATTATTTTCCCACATGTGCAATTTGTTTTCCATTTTATGAATGTAGCTTGACTGAAAGAAACATAATTTTGATTATTTTTTGCCATTTGCTTAATTATATATATATATATATACATTGTATATGTATTGTGCTATATAGATGAGCTTAAGTCAAACGTCAGTTGGGAAAGATAAAAACTTTAAGTTAAAAATAATTAAAATAATTTTAATAAAACTTTGCAAGCGTTTCTGATATTCAGTGGAAATAACAACTTTGATGTTAGTTTATAGAAAACTGACATTAAAAATATGTAACTTTGTTATTCGATATTCGTAAGAAAAGATACATTTAACTATCCCAGTTACTTTGTGCTATTCAGATTTTTAACCAAAATCATAAACAAGACAGTAAGTACTATACATATATATATATATATATATAGAGAGAGAGAGGTTTTTGTGCTGAGGTATACTTCCCGTTTTTTTTTTTCCTGTTAAATTTATAAAACTATTTAACTATGCAGCAACAAACATTATCATCATTATTATTCTAAACCGCAATGTTATTTTCTTCATTCATCATTTTACCTGTTAAAATAAATCAGTGTATATATAGAGAGAAGTGTAAGGGTTGGAAAATCGAATCTAAGTTACAAACTTATTTTATATTTGGATACTACTATTATAAACATTAGAAGTGATAAACGTCAAAGTTTTCTTTATTTTCTTACACTGGCAGGTGGTTTATTGAGTACTATGTAAATTGTGCTTTTAGCTCTTAAATACGTAACGACGTTGTTGTGTTCTTACATAAGACATTGAACATAATTTAGGTTTTAATAAAATACGTGAACGCACTTTTATAAACTTGTTTATTTTATTTATATATTATTAAAATTCATCCAGAATCAACGTGGTTTTATCATGATCTATTTTCATGCTATTCCCGGAACCCACAAACCTGGAAAGTCAGTTTCTAAATACATTCGTAAGTAGATAATATTTCAGCTATTGGTATACAGGGTAATTTTATTATTCCTTTTTTTAAAAGTCAGTTAGTCATAATCTACAAATCATACGCCCATTTCTGTGAAAAATGATATTTTGTCATGCACTAATACGGATAATATCAGCGAAGTTTTTAAATATCATTAACTCAAACATAGCACGCGATATAGCCCGACCATTTTAGAGTAAGTGATAGAGATACAGGCATTTATAAATCAACCCGATTATATACTCAAACCTTTGATTTCGAACCCTTTAATTACGGAACCTGTTCGGTTCTAAAACGGAACGAGGTGTATTACCCCACTAATAGTATAGCGTATAGTTAGTCACGCTACTTCCTAAGCCTTGCTGCTTGTGATTGATCTAAGATTTTATATTCTGGAAACAAGAGGCTTGTTCCCACGTTAATTACTCCTCAACGAAGACTATGCACAGCATAGTGTGATTTTCTGATAAAACTCCATGAAAAACATATTATTTGAGGATGAACTCCACCTGCAAGAATATTATACTACAAACAAGTGAAACCACCCATATGTATTACGTTCCTTCCTGCTGAAAAAAACGTTACTACGAATACTGTAAATAATCAGAACAGTATCGGATAAAATCTGAGAATGTAAGCGTTATTTTGCAGGAGAGTAAAACCAAAACACTATTAATCTTTGTATAAGTTGTTTAATATTAGATCTCATTATGGAGCATAAAACATTAGAAATTTGAATCATATTTAACATTTTATTCGTAACAATGAAAACATAAACTGAAATATTTTAGTAAAATTTCAAAGTAAATCATTAGTAATGTCATGGTGTATTTATCATTGAATGTTGCGTGTATAACAAATAGCTCCTTTTTACTACAGCGCAATCAATTCTTATCTTGAGGTTAATGTTAAATTCAATAGAAGCCATCATGATAGCCAAGATCAATAAGATACCGTTAAAAATATAAAGATTATAATCAGATTGCTGGAAATAATGAACATTTTACATTATTTTATGTTGAAAGACTAGTGAACGGAAGAGGTTAACAGTAAGTATTTGGTTTCGGTTACATCTACAGAAGATAGAAGAACACCAAAAACAAGCGATGTTCATTTTCCAATACTAATCTTCTATTTTTACACATAAGTTAAATTATGAAACTCTCGTTTGTAGATTATGCAGATCAACGGATTTTTTCTTAACTCCAGAAAAACAAACATACTAAAAGGTTTTTAGTATTCATTTCATTTGCTTTTATCACAGCTAATTAAGTTTAATTGTACGTCATATGTTCAAGGAATGAGACTTATCTTATACCTCTTTTCCGTTGATGTACCATTTCAGAATAGCAGCTGGCTTGGAAGGTGCTGCAACGCACGTGACGTCAACAACGTCTCCTGGACTGTAGCTGTCACGAATTCCCTTCATTACAGGGTCTTCTTTTGGAAGCTCTGTTAATTGGAGACTCGAACTCAGTAATGTTTCGAATGAATAAAACTGAAACTTAGGAACGAAACTCTAATGGTTTCAAAGTGAGAGAAAACTTATGTCAGAAACTCCAATTCTTTCTAAATTTCTGATTAAAAGATAATAAAACTGGCCAGAACACAAAATCAAAAACCAAATTGCCAAAAATTAAAATTATTCGAACATGATAACACATTTTAACACGTATTTACAATATCATAACGCTTCTGTTATCTAAGTCTTTACAATATCGTGACGTTTCTGTTATCTAAGTCTTTACAATATCGTAACGTTTCTATTATCTAAGTCTTTACAATATCATAACGTTTCCGTTATCTAAGTCTTTACAACATCGTAACGTTTCTGTTATCTAAGTCTTTACAGTATCGTGACGTTTCTGTTATCTAAGTCTTTACAATATCGTGACGTTTCTGTTATCTAAGTCTTTACAATATCGTGACGTTTCTGTTATCTAAGTCTTTACAACATCGTAACGTTTCTGTTATCTAAGTCTTTACAATATCGTGACGTTTCTGTTATCTAAGTCTTTACAATATCGTGACGTTACAATAATTTACAATATTAAAGTGCTTTCGTCTTACCTTATGCTCAAGTTGCTAATTCCATAAACTCAAATACCTGACATGCATCTATTTATCTGTACTAAAGTGTTGGATTAATTATTGCGTTTAGTTAATCAAAAGTTCCAAGTATCCTCACGTAACATTTGGCCTAGCTTGTTTACCATAGTTCGTATTACAATTTATAATATAATAATCAAATACTTTTTCGATAAAATTCTAAAAACAAAAAAAGCTTACTTTTAAAATTAACGTAATGCAGTAAAAGTCTGAAACGCCGTATAATCCACCCAGTATTTTAGACAACTTGGATTATACTTGGCTTAAGATATGTATAATATAAATGCTCTACTTGTGGTTTTCTTGTATTGTTACTCCCATGCTCAACTATGGTGCAGTAGGAGAAGGTTTAGCTGTTATGAAACAAATTCACCTAAATTTAGCTAAGGATACTATGAGTGTTTGTTTGTTTCGGATATTCGCACAAAGCGCTGGCTTTCTCTAATTTTGAACTTAATGACTAGAGAGCACTCAGCCAGTCAACAAATGATCCTCGTCTGACCGAATAGCACCCAGTCAACAGCACCCACCGCTAACCCTCGTCTGACCGAATAGTTGGATTTGACCGTTATTTTTATAACGCATACACAGCCCCAAAAAGAAGAGTGGGATTTATTTATATATTTAATATTTGCCGTAAGGAGACGCCGACGATGGATACGTATATTCATAGCCCGGTACACTAATGAGTAACCCCTTGGATACGCTCGAACACTGACCGATTGATATTTTTGCGAACTAAACTGTATTTAGCGACCAGTCTATTTGTCATTTTATGAGCGCTATTTCGGAGCTGTCAGTCCTACAGGTTTATGTATCTTCCTTCGCTTCTATGAACAAAACCTTCGAGATATAATATTTTGTTGGTCAGTTTCTTATGTTATGCTTCAGTTTACGGAATAACTGAAAGACCAGTGACTTTATGTGACTGATATTTCATTCCACTTTTCAGAAGATATAATTTTTGTTGTTGTTTTATCGCAAATCTATGTTATTGGCTCTCTGCGTTCTGTACACCACGAGGAATAGACCGTCAGATTTTAGCAATGTAAGTTTGTAAATTTAGTGCTAATCCACTGAGAAACCAGGATATATAATATTATAGCTTCTTTAAACATACCTGTTCCGTACACCAGTCAACAGATGTTTCAACTATTTATTGTTGATTTATTATTGGTTGTTATTGTACAGTATATTATTTTAGTTAAATTTTTGCTACGCTAGGCCTAGTGGATTTCTACAGGGCTGCGGATGTAAAAGCTCAAAGTTCAAGACACGATATGCCCATGAACACCCTCTGTATTTTCACTGTGGGGAATATCAGGACTATGAGAGTAAAGTGCGCTATTTGGTTAAGAGTAGTTGTGTAGGCAGCGGATGAATTTACTGGTTATCTAACTCAACATTTTAAAAATTAGGAATGGTTGTACCTGAGCTTTAAAGACTGACCTGGACGTTTATCCCAGGTGTTGCATAAGATACTGGCCAAGTGTAATCTGTGTGGTAAGCTAATTTGATGTATATATGGTCGGTGGCACTGCCTATGTAGGGATGGTGCGGATTTTTCATAGAAATGGTATTATAAATAACACCACAATATGTCATCAACTTTACAATACTATACAATGTTTCCTTTTATAACAATATCTATATAATGACTGAGTCACAAGTTCTGGGAATGTCTGTAAATATCATAACAAAAAGTTTGAATTTCTTGTTCTTCTTTCTTCTGCTTCTTTTTTATTACATGATAACTCAAAAACAAAAACAATAGTGTCAACCAATTTCACTGAGGTGACCTAGTTTCAAACGGAGTATCCGCTTTTATAAGTATTATTAAGTATTAGTAATTTTTTAAAAATCATAATTCTGGTGTAAATGATGTTATCATTACCTCTTGAAGTTTACTTTCTTACAGAAATGTATTGTTCTTTAAAAAGCTTACGTACAGGGTGAAACAGGAATTACCAGCCAATAATAGATGAACAATTGCAGTTGGAACCTCGTTGTATTTAGAAATTGGTTATAAATACAACCTTCCCATGTCTATTGAAACACTGAATTAAAAAACAAGCAAACGAGTAAAGAAAACAATTTTCTAAACAGGAAGTAAATGTAGGTATGGCTAACATAAAAAAATTAACATATAGCAATATATATAACTATTCGATCACAATTGAGTTTAATTTATCGAATTTTGGTCTGTTAACATTCTACTGTCTTGGTTGGATTGTTTTTGAAAGAATGATAACTATCCCTACATTTACTTCCTTTTTTTGAAATTTTTTCTCTTTACTTTTATAATTGTGTGTACATTATTGCGTAGTTGGAAAAAGCTTAGAGATTTTTATTGTATAGCCAGAAACTTAAGTGTTTATCGAACCAGTATACTAAATCTGTTATTAAAACTGATATATGTGAAGTTTTTGCATGTCCACATATCCAAATTACTTATCTCTAAAATAGTAAACGTATCTATCACACCTTGGTTAAACTCCCTGCTTAACTATCGAAATAATACGATTATATCTATCACACCTTGATTAAACTCCCTGCTTAACTATCGAAATAACACGATTCCACTGTCAAATAGATTAATTATAACAAATTACTTATCTCTAAAATAGTAAACGTATCTATCACACCTTGATTAAACTCCCTGCTTAACTATCGAAATAACACGATTATATCTATCACACCTTGATTAAACTCCCTGCTTAACTATCGAAATAATACGATTCCACTGTCAAATAGATTAATTATAAATACGAGCTCTCTATATAATTTTTTATATTTTGTTCTAATAAAACAGACACCTAATACTTTTTCCGTTCAACAATAACACTTTATTGTTATTTGTCATAGCTATCACATTATTTATTAAACAATAATAGATAAACAGACTACAGAGAATTTAGTACGTTATTTATAAATCATTTTGGTTCTTCAGTAAGTCATTTACGTCCATATTCTATTATGCTCTATCTAACAACAATGCATTTTGACAATAGCTTTGCAGCGTAGTTTTCATTGCAAAACTATGTTTTAAGGTTGTCATGTCCAAAGTGCTCTGCTCATCTCAGCTAGTGTACGAGGACGACGGTTGCCCAATGCCTGATTCAACAGCCCAAATCAAAATTGAATCGTGTGGAATAGCATGAATACCAATACATTTTCCAGCTTTTTTAAAAAATGTGACGGTTCAATGGTAGTATGATTGGAAGCCTTATTAATATGGTGAACACACACATTGTTCCTTCTTGCTTTTGATACCTAATTTGGAACACGTGTATGGCTTTAGCCACGACCATTGTTTTCGTGGATTCTCATCTGTTACGAGACAACGTCACGCTTTTCTTACCACGATTTGTTGCAGGTTTTGTTCTGGATGGTCCTAGCAACCCAAATTGGCTTATATTCCTTTGTTTGCCAATACAAGGGGTATCTCCCTATTAGAAATTCTAAAACCCCGATCTGAACACATATTTGTGAGCTGAGTGTATGAATGTTTTGTTATTGAAGAACTATTACATATATTTCCCAAAAAACACCTACGAACGCCAAACAATGTCAAAATGTAGTTTTGATACATACCGTTCCACCGTAACTTTATATTAACTATATTTTCCAAACGATTTGCTGATTTACTTATTCAAAATCGTTTAACTACGACATGATCAACCCTGTATACGTTTTTCCTTGTTAGGTTACAAAGCACTTAATGAGGAATAACTTTTGTTGTTGTTGTTTTTGTTTTTTTTTAATAAGATGGAATTTTCCTTCTGACGTCATGCACATGAGCAGAATTTTTACTTATTTATTCCACGAGCTTATCGTAATATATATGTGCATGATTTTGGTGTAAAGTATCTAAAGTGTAATGCATATTCAATTCACCCAAACTCGTCTATATGATACAGTTTATAAGATAAAATTTTAATTTATATTCCATCACTCCTTCGAGTTGAATGTTCATTCAATGCCTTTTTAAAGTCACGAATAATTGAAATGATAATAAAATATATGTAGAAACTAAATCACATTTCAAATTCATTAAAGTATTTAGTCAGAATCTTACAAACTATTCTTACTAAATAAAATCATCAATTAAAACTCGGTAGTTTCGGCACCATTCTTTAATGGTATGGTTCATTTTTTATGCATGCAATATTTATGGAGTCTTATCTACCCCTAACAAAATGAAGTCACTTTAATACGATATCATTTCGTTTCATAACTTTCGAAAACAAGCTGGAAATACTTCAGTATTAACCATAGAGCGTTTTTCCGATAGTTCACTGGAGACGTACGTCAGTAAACGGCCTCACTTATCTCCTACTTAA